AACTATGTCGAGAAATAGTATCAAAATATCTTGGACCACCATCTAAAATACGCCGACCTGATTTCTTAAAAACACCTGAATATTATCAAGGATTAGAGCTTGACATTCCATATTATGATTATGGTTTTGCAATCGAGGTACAAGGCGTACAGCACGAAAAATATCACGAATACTTTCACGGAGGAGATCCCAATAATTTGATCAAACAACAAGCACGGGATCAACTCAAGAAAGAATTATGCGAAAAGAATCAGATTGCCCTAAGGTATGTTTGGTATTACGAAGACCCATTTGTAGTTATTCCTGAGCATCTTCGAGAATTGGGTCTCATTGAGTAAACTTAAGATTTTAAATACTTTGCTATTTTTGTGAACCAAAATAGTCAAACAACGATAAAAAATTCACGTGTACGTTATAAATTGTAACGCCGATAACTTTTACAAGCTCACAAGATCATCTAACTTATTATAGGGTAAGAAGACAATTTTCTGATCATTTCGGAATGTACTGCGCAATTATTTCAGATCTTTGCAATAATCGATAATTTTTTAATTTTTTATTTTTTGATGCATCGCATACATATATTAGCGAATTATAAAAGATCAAGCTAAAAGACATAAATTTAACAACACAACATAAATTTTCTCTCGATATTGATATAAAACTAAAATAATTCCCATTTCGCTAAGAGTATCAGAATTAAATCAATGGCTCAGCATTTGGTGATCCTGGACATGGTGACGCAGGATATGATCTTCTAGTAATATTCACTTTAGTGCATAATTTCACTTTCTTCGGAGTTGACATACACGCAGATAACTTGTGCTGACCATCATCTCGAGGTCGTTTTCGGAGCCCGACACTCTTAAATGATTTTGTAGACTGTCCTCCTGTTTGAACCATCTTTACCGTCTCTTGGACTACAGACTAACATTCACAAATATGTCAACTTTATATAATAAAACAGAGAACGAAAAGCTCAGAATCTAACCTTTGCATTCAGAACAGATGCCAAGATCGATAAAACGGAATCGAATTTTTCTACTGTGTCTGGGACTTCCATCAGATCGCAACGCCGAAACCTGCAGATATAACCTTTAGGGTTGTCAACATATACTATTGTCATCGTAAGGCCTATTACAGAATTAATGTATTGATTAGCGACTAGCATTTGAAAAATAAACCTCAAGTTCAGGCACATACCTGCATGAATAATACCTATTGTTTGTATTTGTCTGCGCACCTCTTTGTTCCACTTTATTCTTTCCATCAAATTCACTAACATGTCTTTGAGCGTCTTAGGAAGTTTTAATCCAATTTCTCTAAGGTACTTTGTCCCATATTTGTCAACCCAATCCTTACCCGCCTCCCCAGCCCCAAACTCATCTTTTTTGCCGTTACCAACAGCCCTGAGAATCCAATCCCCTCTGCGACCGATTTTACGACGTTCCCCTGATTTCCTTTTTGCCTTTGTATTTTTTCGTGTTGCCGTTGATATACTCGTACTTTCGCCCCTTAAATTATAATCAAATAGTCGGATCAAAAGAAGCCATTTTTGTTACAAAGATAAAAAAAAATACCTGATAACAGCCACCGCCTTTATGTCTCCAAATGCTTGGTCAAATATTACATTCCATATGTGGCAGTTATACCAATTATCGAGATTTGTGTCCTTGAGATTACCATTTTCTATTTCTTTCACCCTGTAATTAGTTTTCACTTTTTCAGTTAATTCACTATAGGCACAACAGTCTTTGTAAAAACTCTGATGAGATCCATATGTTTGACAGTCGCAGGGACAAAAATAAAAAGGACTACTTACAACGAATATAAGGCAAGGCTTATATAATCTACGTCGTGATGCTTTTCACGGTCGTAATCATTACCAAAGATTGACTCTTTTATTATCTGTCGGATCTCATTCAGGTTTATCTATGACAGAAGAGAAAGAGCTTTGTGGCTTATTACAGTATATGTATTTCTGCTAGTAACGTGTAAATGGAATATTTATTACCTTGCCAAGGAATTTACGTAAAAAATCATCAACTTCTTTTGAAAGCTCGGGTACCTCCGGAATAGGTATGCTATCTATCTCTTCAAGTTCTTCCTGGGTGAAATGTTCCATGATTAACTCATCTTCAACATCAAGAATAAAGGAATGAATGGCGCTATGAAACATAAATGCAATTTATTATAATTATTCTTACACGAACATAATCTCATGCATGACATATACTAACTGCTCAAACTCCTGCTCTTGCCCCAGCTTATATATCTCTTCTTCGACTATCCTCCCAGATGAAAGTTTCCACATGTATTTTTCATCCATTTATCTATAGGCTTTCATAATCTCTCCTCGATTTTTCTTGCTCATTCTAAATGGTCCTTTCTAGGTGGCAAAAGAATAAATTGTTATTCGTAAAAAATGATGTTGAAAAATTCTCAACGAAAATTTACTTTGTTTTCCTTCACCATTTCCACTTTGTTGTTGGTCGCCTCTTTCACCTCTTGATCATCAACCACATCCTTCAAACAAATAGTAGTGAGAAAAATAAACATTTACAGCTAGCAAGACCTAGATATAAAGATATAATTTACCTCATGATCTGGTATATCCAAATCACGTGTTTCCGAATCTTCAGTTTCTGGGTCATGTTGAGGGGAGTAAGATACGTTGGAATAAGGATATCGGAAATTTTCATCGTCTTCTGCTGGCACTCGATTCTATTCAAGATTCAATTTTTAAAATAAAGAAAAATACTAATCATCTAGTTTAATCCTTACATTAAGAATAAAAGTTCCGCTTCCACCGTTATTTATGTTCCCATGAACAATACCATCTAAAAGTGTTGATTGGTGAAGGTGTAACTGCCTATGTGTGCGATCGGTATCCCATTTTTTTGCCCGTTGGCGATCTGGTCGAGGCTTCTATAAATAAAGATTTAAAAAATTAACAAAACTATAACAATTTTTTTATTGGAATTTTCTTATTTTCATTCCATTAAGTCGGCAAAGAACCTTGAACATCGGGCAACCTAAGAGGTCAACCGTGCCTTAATGGGATCAGGTTAGTCAGCTAAGAGCCTTGAACAACAAGAAACCTAAGAGAATTTCTGTGCCTCAACACTGATCTTTGGACCAAGGAGGTCCTTTCTTCACACCCACCATTCACATATATTTCTAATAAAACAACCATACTCGCCTCCCTGTATTTATTAAGAAGTATTCTCGCTTTTCCTTGTTCGAAGCCTCTCTTACGCTTAATAATTGCCTCGAGACTTTTGACGTACTCATCTGCCTTACTCTCGAACGGTTCCTTTTCGCATTCCTTTAAAAAAGCTACAATGTCCCATTCGGAATATTTTCGATCGAAATACTTGTGAATTTTTGACATAATGAAATTTGATTAAGTTTACGAGGTGCGAGTAAATTTATTTTTAATGATCTGTGATTAGATCAAAAGATCAAATAAAACCACGTGATTATACCAATCAGCATTTTTTTCCGATGTCACATGCACATGATTAAAAAATAAAATGATGCCATCAAAGAGGGAGAGAGTACGCGGATCCTAGGCCATTTAATGCGAGTCCCAGCATCACATTATCTTAATTTTTTTAATTCATTGATAAGTGAACACAATTTATATTTGAGATGTACTGTATAGTGCTCCGTACGGGTCGAGTTAGGTCGGGATTGAGGGATGTTCGAACTCGACTCGAATATTCATGTAACTCGACTCGAATTTTCGGGTCGGTCAACTATGTAACCCGAACTTGACTCGACCCGACTGTAATTTAACTCGAATAACCCGGGTTGAACCAAATTTATATGAATTTTATTATATTCGGCAAAACAATAGTAAATTAATTGACAAGTTACACATTAATAATGTTTTTTTATTTATTTAATTAAAATTGACCGGTCTAAATCACTTTCATTTCCACCAAGATTTCAAACACATACACGCACGAATAGTATGTGTTTTAAGGCTGCTTCTTTTTGTTGCTACTAAATCAGCTCCACCAGAAAATATTCGTTCTACTGGAACACTTGTAGCTTAAAAAAAATCAGTTTCAATTTATCAGTTAATGCTTAATAGTATTATTATTAATAAATGTATGCAATAAACCTATTTACCCGTAATAGCAAGATAATCTCTAGCCATATTGGCTAAATTTGGAAATGTCATTTCGTGTGTCTAGGAATACTATATACATTAGCTGATAATTTAAAAATTATACAACTTATTATTAAATATATACCTTCCACCAAAGAAGAATATCTTGCTTCCGTTCTGCTCGAGGAGTTTTAAGATATAATTCTACTTCATTTTCCTTACTTTTTTTTGTTTACCAAAAAGATGATCTAAAAATTCATCATTTTCATCATTATCAATATCTTCCGAGTGTTCATTGACAACAGGTGCATAATTGGTGTTGTAAATATTAAGGACTGTCTCTTTAGCAAAACGTATAAAACTTTGCTTCCATTTATTAT